TGGACCTACTAGAGTGAGTCCAGAGGAGGGCCACAAAAATGATCAGAGGGATGGAACACCTCCAACATGAGGACAGGCTGAGAGAGTTGGGGTTGTTCAGCCTGGAAAAGAGAAGGCTCCAGGGAGACCTTATAGCAGCCTTCTAGTACTTAAAGGAGGCCTACAGGAAAGGTGGGCACAGACGTTTTAATAGTGACTGTAGCGACAGGACAAGGGGTAATGGTTTTAAACCAAAAAAGGGTAGATTTAGACTAGATATAAGGAAGAAATTTTTTATGACAAGGGTGATGAAACACAGGAACAGGTTGTCCAGAGAAATGGTAGATGCCCCACTCCTGGAAACATTCAAGGTCAGGTTGGGTCGGGCTCTGAGCAACCTGATCTAGTTGAAGATGTCCCTGCTCACTGCAGGGGGATTGGACTAGATGACTTCTAAAGGTCCCTTCCAACCCAAACTGTTCTATGATTCTGTAATTTCCATAGAAGGCAACAGCAAATTAATTAATATTAGACACTAAAATCGGCACCTCCTAAAACTTGGGGTTGGGAGGGTAACAAATAATATTCAGAATATTCCATGATTGTCTAAGACCCTCCCTATGCCAATCCTTAAGTGTTTGTGTGATTTTACTCCTGTGAGTAATCTCTCTGAAGGCAAATAAAATGTAAATGTTGTCAGAATCAGGTATTTCTGCAGAGGCCTTTTTATGCCACCTACTTTTAGGTGCAGGTTTGCCAGTGAGGAGCCCTGTCACCCTCTGCTTCTTATTCACCTGGACCAGTGCAGCTGGGCACCTTGGGTGAGACACCCAGAAAAGGTGCCTGCACCCCGGGAGCCATAAAGCTTCATCCTCCTCAGTGACAAAACCAAACCCTTATGTGGTTATGGAAATCCCTCCTAATACCATCCTCTTTCTTAATCCAACCCTGCATGTACAGCCTGATCCTGCAGGAGCACCTACACCTTTTACTGAAGCCAGAGGTTGTAACCACACCCTGCCCTTCAGGGCTGTGAGCAATCACATCAACCGCCCCAACCGCTTGGTCACCAGAGAGGACGCCAGCACCTGCCCTTGCAAAGGATCTGGCCCAGCTTTTGTACAGGTGTGCCACATGAAAGACTACAAGTGAAAATATTTGTCGGTCTTCATTTTGTTGCAGAGGTACCGGAGCAGTGACAGCAGCGAGCTGCAGCGTGGGCACAGGATGGCTGCTGGCGTAACCTTGCTGGGCGCCTGTCAGGTTCTGCTTCCTCCAGGCAAATTGCAAGTGAAGTTTGTTGAAAGCTTTTGAGCACTTTCCAGGTTTCAGCTGATTCTCGCTCTGACAGTTTTGCTAGATAATTTTTTCCCACAGTTATCGCACTGGAAAAACTCCCAGCTTTCAAATAGGTATTTTAAAATACATTTAATTTTCTCTTGCACAGTGAATTTATTTATTTTAATATCTCATTTTGTCTCCAGGCCACAGATTGATGAGACAAGTGCCAATTTCTGATGGACCTCTTAACCAAGAAAGATCTTCATTTTGAAAGTTGTGGCTGAAATTTTAAATGGGCCCACAACTGCAATACTGTTTTCTCGGTCAACTCGACATGGCATGCGACAGCCTCACATGTCAGAATACCATGTCCTATTAGATCAGTCTTGACTGATAAAACCATGATGTTGGGGTAGCCAAAATGCATTACCACTATTCCTTCTCAGGCTCCATGTTAATTCAGACCACAGTTTAAAAACAAACTGACTCATATGCAGCTAATAAAATAGGAACCTACAGAAGCATTAGGATTTCAAAAAGAAAGCATCAGGTTTTTAAAACAACAGCATTGAGATATTAAAAATTCACAAAAGTTGGTCATTTTCCTCACTGAACTTATGTTGGCTGAGGATCTAAACATAATTTGTATTTAAATTAGACTAAATTAAAAAATTAATAGAGATGGAAAGGGAGGTGATTATACATAGCTTGTTTAAAATCATGTGAACATAAATATTTTCATGACACTTTTAAAACTGAAGTTATAAACAGTTTCCTGTTTTTTAAAAATAAAGACTCCCCTTGGGCTGCTGGAAGTAAAAACAATCCTAACAGGACCACACTTTGCAAAGAGTCTCAAAATTAAAATTTCAGAACATTGCTCACGGTGGTGTTAGAACACACTGGCAGAAAAGACTGAAAAGGACATTATTGTAAAAGAAATGCATTGAAGAATAATAATCTAAAATGGAACTTTTTAATAATCATTTTTAGACAATCTTTTAAAACAAACTATTTAGTTCCTGGAACAACTTGAAAAAGACAGATTGTAGGGTGGTGACAACATACTACCTCCTATTTGGCTGGTATGACGATCCCTTAAGCCACACATAGCTGTGACCCCTTCTGGAATGCAAGTGGGAAAAGGCTTATTTTGCTCCAGTTTCAAATCTAAAATCTCTCAGCTCAAATGCTTCATGTTACATAGCTGCTTCCCCCCACCCTGCATTTTGCCTATTCAGTCTGGGATAAGCCAGGGTCTTGCCTCCAGTATATGAAAGACAGGCTGAGATAGAGTGCCTTGCAAGGTCTGAAATCCTGGCCATTAAATAAAATGGTGCATCTTCATGTGACCGTCCCCCATTAGGACCTGGACAACACACTTCTCTCTATGCAACAGACGGTAAAACAAAGGGTTTAAGAGTGAACTACTTAACAGTGAGCTTCTGCAGCTCTGGTCCTCTCATCTCAGCAAAGATACTGTTGAACTGGAAAAAGTCCAAAGAAGGGCAATAATGATAATCAAATGTCCGGGATGGTTTCTAGTTGAAGAACAAGTGACAACAGCAGCACTTCTCAGCCTGGAGAAGAGATGACCCAAGGGAAATTACAGGCCTACAAAATCAGAGATGGCTCAAGGGGAGCAGATAGTGATCTGATGTTTGCTGTCACTTCCAACACAAGGACAAGGGGCCACAACATTAACTTAAAGCAGATAAGCAAATTCCAAACAAAGCAAGAGAAAAGCGATGGTTAGGCAGTAACCAACAAAACTTGCTGCCAAAGTCACAGCTGCACTGTTGCGGATGTGGAAAATTTACATGGGTTCAAAGGGAGACTGAACAAATACCTGGAGGAGACATCTCTCGAGCGTTATTATACAGGCAGAAATTATAACCATGAAATCCCTAAGCTAAAGATAGCTTGAGGCTGGGAGAGCACTTGGGAGAAGGATCACACATACACATACTTCCCCTGTTCTTACTCTTGCCTAGACTAACCGCCTATGGTTCTTACCGGGGACAAAATACAGGACTCTTGGTCTAATCTAGTACAGCCCTTCTCATAACCTACCAGGTTTATTTGTAGTGATGAGCACTTAAGTCTTTCCAGAAACAGGGATGTTATATTCTTTTCAGATGTACACAGACAATGAGAAAGCTGTTTCTAGCTCAGCTTTCAGGGGAGAAAGTGCACAAAGCACTGGTCCTTAGTAGGCCATCCTCTTTGACGTCAACACAAAACTTCCTGAAAGCTGTTTATCAATTCTCAGCTCACATCTGAAACAGAAGTTCAGAGCCGGGATACCCTACATGGCCTGGGGTAATCACTGAATGCCAGCAAAAACCCATGCAGTGAGGCTGGACTGCAAGTCACTTGGGGACGTGCAAAAGCCCAATCCACTTGACATCACATTGAAGCAAATATGTTTTCCAGAAAATCTCAGGGTGAAGCAAGCCACTCGGAGGACGCCCTAGCCAGCAGTGACATACAGGCAGAGATGAATCCTCCGCCTGTACAGTAAACACACATGTGTTACATGCTTCTTCTGAAAACATCTCTAAACCAAAGTGTCTTGTCCAGGTTGGAGTCTTTAAAATTTCTCCCCAAAGAGCCTGATGTATTGGTGGCCCAACAAGCTTTGGGAGGGCGGCAGTGCCACCCCACGAGCTGACATGGGCAGGGATCAGCCCCTTGTCCCTAGCCCCACTGCTCTGCACTTGCAAGCTCTGGGGGTGGCAGGGACCCGTTCCAGCCCTGTTTTCTTCTCTTTTGTTGTGTTTGTCAGATATCATAATACTCTTGACAGAAACTGTCTTAGATTGTTGAGTAATGAGTAAACCATCGTCATAAGCTTACAAGCACGGTATGATTTACAGCCCAGCCTTTGGTTTATGTCACTCTGTATGTTGGGAGATGGGTCTCTAGAAAAGCAGAATTTCAGTTTATTACCTCTGAGCAAAAACATGCCTTCCTCAGCAATCCGCATATGAGTTAATGCCACCTTCTTGCATCAGTTTAACTGCCCTCTGGTGTCCTCCCTCAAAAAAACAGCCTTTATTCGCACTATCCATCAGCTGAGAGCAGAGTCTCCGGGACAAAACCCATTCTTATAAAAGGAGCTCTGGTTCACGGCCAGGCTTAATTCAACCCTGAGATATGGGAAGAATGCAGGAAGCAGAGTCGTCCACCTGTACTACCATATCACCCATATTGCCAGGCAAATGGAAGGGCACTGTCCCAAAGGAAAGGGCATCTCTGTCAACATACCCGTTCAGGTCGTCTGCCTGGAAAGCTACCGCCACACAAATACCAAGTCCTTTCACTAAGAGCTGGATCTGTCAGGAAATAATGTCTCTAGGTTTCTTCCAACTAGGTATGGCTTTGAAGAGATGACAAACCCTGGTGTCTCCTGTCTGAAAATGAGGGTGCAATCTTGTACTAAGTTCACTGACACATAGTGTGCAGGCTTGGCAAAAAATATTAGCAATACTGGAGTTTAACTGTTGGTCAGCATTACATCTCAGGGTCTGCATCTTTCTCCTTGTCTACCATGTTCCCAGCAGACTTTCAGATATTATGAAAATAATTTCACCAGTCCCCCAAAGAACAACCTGACATTAAAAATAATGTGCTACTGCAGTCTTTACTTTTTTAACCTCAAACTATTTTAAAACTATTTTAAATGCACAAAGGGAAAACACAGGCTAAGAGCAGAGAGGACTGAAGCAGAGTCTTACCCAGCGATCTTTCCTTCGTTTGGTTTGCTGACCGCACCACAGGAAGGCTTGCCCGCGTACGGCTGCCCCTCGAAAAGGGGGTTGGTGAATCACCCTCGGACATGGCCTCTAAGGAATCTGCAGACGCTTCAGAGAGGTGTTCTGTCTGGTCACCCAAATTCGACTGTGGGCTCTGGGACAGCTTTGGGCTTCTTGTCTGCAAAAGAGAGTGTTTAATTATTGGCCTACTGAAACTGG